CGCCCGCCGCCGGACCGCGACCACACGTTTGTCTTTAACGCCGTGGCGGATGCGCCCCCTTTGTTTAGCCACAGGGAAAACCATCTTATTAACATTCAAGAGACTGGATTTTTCCTCTGGGACTTGAGCCGTCTTTTCTATGAACGGTAACGGCCCAAAACGCACAGGGACTGACTTGTCCTACGAATTCTCTCAGTCCTCAGAACAGAGCTGTGAGGGGAGTGCTCTTCTCATGTTACAGATGAGAAAACTGTAATGAATATCTGATGGTTGTACTGGAGTATTTGCTATTGTTTTAGTATTTTTAATAAGTTCTGTGTTAGAAATTTTCTGATGTAATTTTTAAACCAATATTTCCTGCATTCATAATCCAAAATTATTTAGTATATAAGTACACTAGGTGAAAATTGGGGTCAGCTCTTTGATTGTAATAGCATCCTGTTGTTTGGTAAATACCGATAAAATAATTTATAATTTAAATTTAAGAATAATTATAATATGAAGAAAAATGATGCATTTTCTTTCCCTCTGTTTTGATTTTACACAGGACAACGGCCTCATTTTCAATCGGGGAAGCCTTTAAATGAAACTTGCTTGAAATTGTAGATCATACGCAGAAGAGAGACCCCAGTCAGCAGTAAAGTGGAAAGGAAGGATGTTGTCCTTAAACAACCTGCAGAATGTCACCTATAACCCGGTAACTGATTTCTCAGAAATCACTTTTTACTTTTGGCAGGATTGAGAGTAAATCCAGTGGGATAGTAATTATTGGTGTAGGAAGGCGTCAGGAATAGAATTCAGTACACGTGTGTAAAGCACCCCGTGTTACAGGGACTGTGGTGGGTACTGGCTGGAAACAGACCCACCCTTGGATCTGGTGGAGGACGGGTCACCCTCACAGCACAAGGTGCTGAGAATGTTGTGAATGGGAACATGGAACCACAGGGGAGGGAATGCCAATGTGGGTGGTGGTAGGAGAGTACAGATATCATAAGACATAATTTTAAAAGGAAAATGGGTTTCTTACTCTACAGGTTTTAAATTTCCTTTTTTAATTAGATCTGTTCATGAGAAGTCTCAGTTTTTCTCTCTGCCTTTCAAATTCTGCTTGTTACTTGAGCAGGGAAATGTCAAAAGCTAGTGGTGAGATGGAGAATGAAAAAAATTAAGGGTCTTGAGGCTCAATTGCTTAAAATTTCAGTGTGCATCCTGGGAAGTAACGAACTTGGTTTAGTTTTATGTGGTGACACAGTTTCATTGTATCTGGAGCTGAATCCTGTATTTAGGTCTGAGATAGAGTTGCTGCTTTTTTCATACTCCCCCCCTCCCCCAAAAAAAAAGAGACTCTTGGGCAATAGGGAGGGTGAGGGTCCTTGAAGTAACAGACCCGCCCTTGGAGCTCAGTCTTACTAGTGTGAGTTCACTATTTAGTTTATAGATATAACTTTTTCCCCTAAGTTTTAATGTCATTGTGCAAGAATCAGGTATGACCACCATATCAAAGCAAACTCAATTTTAGCAGAAATATAATTAAGTAGTACTAGGTTTAAAAAAGACGACTTACTGAATTTGAAGTCAGAGACATTAAAAACGACTTTATGCATCTTAGAGTTAAAAGCATCTCAAAGTTGTAGACTGACTTTCTGCAGAGATTTGAAAAAAATAGGCTGCCTGCCAAGGGTGACTGAAGTGTAACCTTGACTGGAGCTAGGAGGAGGAGTGGGCTGTCGGGTTACACTGGTCAGTGCTGGCCGTTGTGCACAGAGATGCCTTATTGGAATGGTAAACTGAAAACCATTTTCTAGGTTAAAATCCCTGCATATCTTGACATGAGCATAATGATGACTCCTGTGACTTCTGGGAGTCACAAACTGTAGGGTTGGAACAAAAATAAACTGATTCTTATTTCCTGAAGTCATGCTGCTTTAGAGCAGTAACTGCATTCAGGGCTCCCAGAGGACCTCTCTCTGTTCTGAGGATAGTTCATGATAACAAGTTTACAAAGTAAATATTTTTTAGCACATAGCTTTTTTATTTATTTTTTATTTTCTTTGTTTTATAGTCAGCTCTCACAAGCAGAAAAGGGTAGAGGTAGAAAGACTGGCCTGAATGGTAAAACAACATTTTGATGTGTCTTTAAATTTCACTTATTGTTAAATATTCATAGCATTGAGTCCCCATATTGCACTTTAGCTCGTTTAGTTTGTAGCTAGTTGCCCTGCAGTATTCAAAAGACCATGGGGAAAAAAGGCCATGAATAACTTCGATATTTTAAGTTAATTAGGATACTGTACAAGCTAGGCTTAAAAACTTTTCTTACATTATGGTTATTTTGTTAATGATCAGTTCAGTGGGAAAATGTTTATTGATTTTCTACTGTATTCTTTATTAAGCATTCTAAAGACAACTGCTACCTTTTTATTTTTATTTTTTTATTTTTTTTATTTCTATTTCTTAATGTTTCTAAAGTTTTGGTCACTGGTGGTAGAAAGATTCTGTTCATATTACCTCTTCTTGGAAAGATAAATTGTATAACTGGCCTATGTACTTTTTCACATTTAATATATTTCATTTGATAGTTCACTTGATAGGCTTCCAAACTTAAGAAAGTCAGGCTCATTTTCTTTCCACTTAAATTTGGTGAATAATTTGGAAGACAGTATCTTCACTTCATACCAGAAATGCCCTCAGTGAAATACATTGTTTGACAACTCAGCATCTACCTAAATATGTATTTTATTATTTTATTAGTCCTTAAGCTGTGGTTAAGTTGTTGCTCCAATTAACCAGTTGTTAACATTAATCCCACCTGGTGCTGAAAAGCTCATCAGGCCAGTTTCCTTAGCAACCTTGCTTCCTTTCTCCTTAGAAGTCTAAATACCTCCCTGTCTCCCTTCAATTTAATCTTAAACCACAAAACAATAAAATCTCCTTTTTAACCTTCGAGGTTCCTTCCAGCCTTTGCTCCGTTGTTCTTTGACCACCTTCCTGAGAGTCAGTTTCTGCTGCCTTGAGTTTCTTAACACAGCTCAGCCCTCTGATTTTTTACTTATTTGTAATTGCTTGCTTGTCTTCACCTTCTGTCTTTTTTTCACGTCTTCCCTAATCACCTTTAGTTCTTTTGAATAGGTTTACAATCTGTTTATAGTTCCGGCCTTTCATCTGAGGTGAATTTCCAGCTCTCAGATGCCCTGCCAACCTTTCAAGACTGTGTGTTCAGAACTAGCATCTTTCTCCCTGAACCCACTTCCCCTCTGTGGTTTTCCAGTTTTGCATTTCTGTCAGTATCCTTCTGCCTTTAACTTCCGCCGCCTCCCAGGCGACCAAACCCTCCATAATTTGAAGATAATCTCTCTTGAAAATTAGAAATCCATTCATGTCAAACCCAGTGGTTTTTCCTTTTTATTATTTTTAAATATAAAGAAAACATGTAACTCATTATTAAAAATTCAAACATTGTTTAGAGTTTTCATTAAAGCAAATTTTCTTTCTACCCTGGTGCTCAGTTCCCCTCCCCAAAGGTGATCATTTTCTACCAGTGTTTTGTATGTCTTTCCTGAGGATGTATGTGAATGTCCATTGTATGTATCACCTTTTAGATATCCTGTTTCTTTACATTCATGTATCAAATAATATGTTCTACACCCTGCTTTTTTCCATTTACATCTTTTGGAGATATCTGCACGTTTAGAATCTCACTTACTTTAATGGCTGCATAATTAGTTCATTGTGTGTATTTACATACATATGTATCGTATTTCACCAGTCCCCTGTTAAAGGACTATTTCCTTTTGTGATTGTATCCGGTGCTATGATGTACATCCTTGTATGTGAATCTTTGTGTGCATGTGCCAATAATTCATAGATAAATCCTACATTTTTTACAAAGTAGAATCATTGGGTCAGAAGGTATGATACCCACTTTATTTTTTTGATCTTGCTTATTTTTCCATGTTAACGATATTGCCAGTCCCCCCTTATTAAAATTGGCTTCCTTGATATGCCTGATCCTTCTCTCTTCTGTCTCTCCTCACCCCCCATTTTGAAGTTTCCAACACACCCCAGTTTTGATTCACCAGCATAGAGTCATACTCATGGCTGTGGTTTATTACAGTGAAAGGATCTGGAGCAGAATAATAAAGGGAAGAGGCTCATAGGGCAAAGGCCAGGGGAACCTCCTAGTGGAGTCACAGGGGCGCTCAAACCCCAGCACACGTGTGAAATACTACCTACCAGGGAAGCTCCTTGGCTCACTCTTAGGGTTTTTACTGGGGGCTGGTCACGTAGGTTGCCCACCACGTACCAAAATTCTAGACTCCCCAAGGAAGCAGATTTTAGCATAAACCATGTTGTTTGCACAGACAGTTGAGGTGCAGTGAGCTACCCTTATCAGTTAGGGTGGTGGGTGCTCTCCCAAATTCCAAGTTCCTAGACATCAGTAAGCCAAGAGCCAGCCTTGTAAGAAGGCCTTCCAAGGATAGCAGTCAGGTTTGCTTTGTTCACTCTTTTCTGCACACCCCCTAATTTTACAAACTATTGAGGCTTTTTCCCTGACTCTTTCTCTCAGTTTATCTTCTTTGTTATAATCATCTTTACTCTGACCTTTAAGGATGAGTTTTGGCCACTCTGTGTGGTCCTGAATCTCCTATGTCTTCCACTCTGTTTGCTCCTATTGTCCTACCAACCCTTCTCATTAAAAGTGTTCAAAATTAAACTCGTCTTCCATCAGAAATCTATTTCCTCCCGTTTTACCATTTTAGATGTTAACCCTATATAGATAATTTCCTTTGAAATACCTTTTGTCTGTCTCCTGTGACCTCTCCCCCAGTGTGTCCTGCATCAGCCAGGATACGTCATTGTCGCCTTACGTCTGCCTATTGGAAATACTGTCTCCAGGTAATGCCCTGCCCTCTGGACTGTTGTCCCAAACCCCACTTTCATTGTATCACTCTGAAATCTGATCCTGACTCTGTCTTTCACTGCTCCTTAGTACTGTCTCCCAAATATGTTTTGTCTTTTCCTGCCTCTGCTTTTGTAGACTTATATTTCTACCTGAACTGACTGACTTTGTCTGCCTAACACTGTTTTCCCAGCTCAGATCACACCTCTTTCATTACCTTTCTTTGGCCAGCTCAGTTAGGATTCTTTATACATTTTTCTGACACATTTATTTCACACTGCCCCATTATTTCAGATGTTAAATTAGGGTTTGTAGCTGCAAGCACAGAAGCCAGTCTCTGCTGAAAAGAAATTTATGAAATGATAATGAATAGTCCTCAGAATCTCTAGCAGGACTGAAGAACCAGGCTTGCCAGCTAGTCACAGCACCCAGCAGTGTACTGTAGGACTGTTCCCAGGAAGAGACATCTGTAGCCACCGCTGACCCTGGATGTAGCCGCTACCCCCTTGCCAGAGAGAATACTGCATGATTCTGGCTTCTTGTCACTACTACTACCTTCACGTCTGAGCTGGGCGTGCTGACTGCCAGAGCTTTGTCGGGGGCCCTTGCCCTCGCTGCAGTCTAGATGAGGCTGGTATTCCTAGGGAGGGGCTTTTTTAGGCAGGGAAAGAGATTTGATTTTGAGCAGCTAAACGAAGTATCCCATTTCCACTCATTGTCTTTCCACAGGTATTGACCTCTTTCCTCATGCACAGGACTCTCGTACTCCTTTCCAGCTGTGGTCTCCCTAGGGGAGACCCTTGCACATAAGTCATAAAAAAGTGAATCAGCTAGGAAGTTCTGGCAAGTAACACCAAGCCTGAGTAGGGCTCAAGCTTATGGTACTGTCTCCAATGTGATCATATCTCTTAATTTTTTACATAAATCAGTTCTTTGTGAAACATAAAGCACCAAAGCTTAGAGTTGCCTAGAAAACAGCTGCTTCTCTTCCTTTTTCACAGGAGCAAATAACTGTGAGCTGAGCGAGTGGGCTGCAGGGCATTTTGTCTCATTCATGGTCCAAAAAAGCTGAGTATTACTGATGTAATTTAGGGTACTTGACTAAGTAGAGAGCATTAATCCAGGCAATTAAAATGGCAAATGGCCAAAATTTTCAGCTTTCCAACCCTAAAATTAAACACATGTTTTAAAAAAACCTGTGGTTATAAAAATATATTTATTATAGAAATAATTTTTGGCTTATTTCTTTATAGTGTTTTCTCTGTTTAATGTTTATTAACTTAGTTAAGATTATATTGTGCATAGTTTTGTAGGCTGCTTTCCCACTGATACTTATACCGCTAACATTTCTGTGTTATTAAGTAGTCTGCATAAATATAACTAGAACATATATAAAATTTGAAGTTGCAAAAACTTCTCATTTTATTAAGAGATTTACACTGTGGAAGATGCTGCTATCTATTTTTCGAATCGGCTGTGGTCTGAAAGATCAGTGCAAGGGTGTGACCCTTTACACATACTCTGCTTTGTGTACAGCCATGCTCTGTACGTCTGTTGGTGTTTTTCAGTTTCTGTTGACTTGGGCTCTGTTCACTTCCCTTCTCCCTGCCCCGCCCTCTGGGATTGTCATAACACCACATGTTAACTGGCTTTGGAAATGTCTGCCTTACTGCTTAAGGCAGCAACAGCAGTGCAGCAGCTGCTTAGTTGCCGCTCCTCAGCATGTGAGAGGCCTGCCGCAGCTGCTTCGGGGTAGTGAGAGCTCACTCATTCACCATGTAATCATCAATCATCTCTGGACCTCTGTCCTGGGGATGTAAAGGTGATGACCCCATGCTGCTCCATGCAGCCCACAATCCAGGCAGAGATGTGTGCAATAGACAGAGCACACAGTGCTATGATGGCCTCTTAGCTGGCCCAGAGAGTCTGAAAAAGGCTTCACAGAGAGGAGTGTGCTTGAGCTGAGATTTTCAGCTAGAGCCACCCATTTACATCAAGCCCCTCTTGTTTTATTTATATCCTGACAATCAGAGCTACCTTGGATAGATTATAGCATATAAGTCATAACTTGGATGAGCTTGGTGGAAGACTTGCCAGATGCTCCTGAGTGGAAGATGGGGGGAGGGTTGTGAGGCAGGAGACGCAGCCTATATAGCACAGGTCCCCAGCCCGTGCAGTCACCGTAGGTAAAGGGGAGTGACAAGGTCTGAGTGTGTCAGGCTCCAGACAGAAAGGCTGGGCTCCAGATGGTGGGTGGGCAGGTTGAGACCCAAATACTGTGTGGGAACACCCGTTGGAGCCCAAGCTGGTAGATAGCCTTGAGAGATCCACAGGCACCCAGAACTCATCCTAAGATCACAGAGTTCTCTGATGTCCAGAAGTGTGTTGTGGGTTGCAGTCTGGAAGCCCAGATTCGGCACTCGCATCTCAGGTGTGGATAAGTCCTCTCCCCAGGCAGTGAGTATCCTCACCTCGGTCAGCATTGGCTTAGGGCCTGGAGCATCTTGACTCTGCTGCTGAGTGGAACGTTGAGGAGGGGAGGGGCTGCCATTGCAACAAGTTGTTTTTTCTATTACCAGAATTATAATAGGAGTGGAATTTCTATTTCATAAAACCCCCAGAGAAATAAAAAGTATTGCGACTAGTATTTATCTTTTGTCTTTTCCAAGTAACTCAGTTTGCAAATATTGTTGAGCTGGTTTTTAAAAATTTTTATTTATTGATTTGAGAGAAACTGATTCGTTGTTCTACTTATTATGCATCATTCATTGCTGCTTATATGTGCCCTGACTGGGGATTGAACCCGCAACCTTGGCGCATCAGGACGACATTAAACAACTGAGCTACCTGGCCAGGCCTGCAGATATTGTGTAGCTGTTTGAATACTGAGGACAGCGCGGAAAGTGCTAGGTTGAGATTGACATGTGATAAAAACGTAGCTTTTCAGTTTTATGTAAAAGTACATTTGTTAAAATTATTTTTCCTAGATAATCCCCTATGTTGGGACCATTCCTGAGCAGTTGGAACCTGGAACCTTGATTGTCATTCGTGGGCATGTTCCTGGTGATTCAGACAGGTAAAATCGTCATATCAGATGAAAAAGAACATGAATAAACTGTCTCTTTGTGACTGTGGGACAATAACAAAAAAATAATGTGGGAGAGACATTTTGGTATGTGAGGCCTCATCTTGCTTTCGTCAGCATCCTCTCCCAGGTGCCGAGATTGGAATGAGTGACTGAAATAAAGGTTATTCGGGTTTTTTAAATTTTATTTTACTGCTATAAGTCTGATCTCATTATAAAGAATTGGATATATAGTTAATGAGGGGAACTATGGTCAGATGACAGGGACAAAGTCCAGTTACAGGGTCACAGTCCCACAGCATCTCTTAAGGTCTCTTGTGGGTGGTTTTGTCTAATGCTTGCTTTAGGTACAAACTGGATGAGTCCGTATCTATTAGAGTTGGGCTCAGGTCAGTGTGGCTGTTGCCCACATAACAGTGGTTCAAATGATAGAAAGTCAAGTCTAAAGGAGACGGCCCAGGTGTTTTCAGGCAGCTCCATCAAGTCTTAGAGAAGCAGGCCTCTTCTGGCTGGCTGCTCTGCTGTCCCAGGGCGAGGTCCTCTTTCCTGTGATTCTTGGCGCTAGAACTGCAGCCCTCACATCATGCTTTGGGTAGCTGGGCGCATGTACTGTTTGTGGGGAGGGGTGGGGGGTTGGAGAGAAGGCTGATGCCACCTAACTTTCAAGGCAGTTTCCAGTAATTTCCCTGAACACTTCGCCTCCACCTCAGCAGAGCTTTACCACAGCATGCCTGCCTGCAAGGGAGGCTGAGGAATGGAGGCTCCTTCTGGACAGGTGGGGTCCCAGCCACAGTTCAGGGGTCTGTTACTAAGGAAGAAGCAAAGGCAGGGGGTAGTTAGGGCACGTGGGTGTATGAGCAGAGGATCAGTTATGTGACTCAGCCTGGGTTTTCGGGCTTTTGGGGCCCTCCTTGCAGCCTCCCTCCGAGTACTCAGGTGGCCCTTGTTCCTTCCTCATGCAGGTTCCAGGTGGACTTACAGTGTGGCAGCAGTGTGAAGCCTCGAGCTGACGTGGTCTTTCACTTCAATCCACGTTTCAAAAGGACCAACTGCATTGTTTGCAATACTCTGCAAAAAGAAAAATGGGGGTGGGAAGAGATCACCTATGACATGCCTTTCAAAAAAGAGAAATCTTTTGAAATTGTGATTATGGTGCTGAAAGACAAATTCCAGGTAGGTTTTGGAGAATGAAAGTTGAATCCTCATTCATGAGAGTAGGCGTACAGGACGCTCTTTCACAGTGGTGAACTCACCCTTACATTTATTTCTTAAATCCAGAGAGAATTTTACTTTATAATTTTTCTCAGTGTAGGGGCCGACAGTTACCTATAGGTGAGATGGTTGCAGCTCCTGTCCCCTGCCAATGGTGCCTTGTAGAATTGGGGTCCTGGGCAGCCACAGCTCTTTATTAGATTATGTTTCTCCTAGCAGGACTTAGTTCAGTTCTGAATTGGCACAGCACTATATTAATTATGGGTTAGTAAATTATACCCACCATGACCCAAAGTGTAGGGAAATCTGGGACTAAGGTGGCGAACCCCAATGTAGAATTCAGAATCCCAGTGTGAAGTTAGTGCCACAAGGTGGTTCTTTAAGGTCATTAGATTTTAGACCCAAGGATCTCAGAAATCCTGTGTGTAGTAAATGCTGTCATTGGCTTCCATGAGCATTTCATAGCTTGTGCATGTGTGTGACCACATGTAGAATTTGGTCCCAGAGGCTCTTTCCCTGCTCAGCTTCACGCCTGTGGAGCCTCCCAGACTACAAACCCATACCCATCAAGAGAAGAGTCTCCCATCCCTGGTGCAAGCCCTTCATGGCCTCAGGATCCTGCTCCCACCAGAACATTGCCCCTAAATCTCCTGAACTCTGGTCACCCCTCCCTTCTCTGGCTTTTGAGCACTTATTCCTGTACTGTTGTGCTTTGGTTTTGTTCCTGTACTTACTTTGCCCACCATTAGAATTTTAAGCTCCTTTAGCTTAGAGGCCATACTGTATTCTGCCTGTTTTCCCAACATTCCCTAATACAGTACCTGGCATTTGGGAAGGAGGGAAAAAAACCTTATGTGCTGTGCACCTGCTCTGCATCAGGCCGTGCTGGGACTCAGCAGTGGCCTCATCTCACAGCAGCAGCCCTTTGAGTGAATTTTCCTGCTTACAGACAGCAGTCTCAGGGAAGTTGGGGAACTTGTCCATGTTCATTCATTCACCACATGTAACATATGTTGACTGGGTGTCTACCATGTGCACTGTGGTCTCTCTCAGGGTGGTGAGCTTGCAGGGCCAGTCTCTCCTGGGCTTGCAGGCCTCCAGGGCATTGAGGACTCTCAATTCCAGGTGTCTCATATTTACACCCAGAAACACATGCATCTGCACATATGTGCCTGCATGCATGATTGGTGTGGAGAGAAGCATCCATGGCATTTAATCAGATCAGGAAGTCAAGAGAAGATACTGCTGGTGGTGTGATGCTTTCAGTCAGTCTCGACAGACACATCAAGTGGAGCCCTATGGGATACAATTAAACCCAAATAAACAGATTTCCATTTGGGTAAACTAGTAAAATTAATTTATTAACTGTTTTTGGGCTGTCTCCTGTGTCCATCTAGGTGGCTGTAAATGGAAAACATGTACTGCTGTATGCCCACAGGATTAGCCCAGAGAAAATAGACACTATTGGCATTTATGGCAAAGTGAATATTCACTCCGTTGGTTTCAGCTTCAGCTCGGTGAGTGCCCTTCCATATGTGGGGCCTTCTTTGATGATGTTTTCTGATGAAATGGAAGGAAACATCTTTAACATCTTCTATTAAGATAAAATAAATATCTCCATTAGTGCATTAATTGTTGGAAGTAAATCTTTCATGCTGGTAGAATTCTATGTATTTTCTGTGAACTTACTTTGTGTAAATTAGTCATTTAGCAAATTGACCTGCTTCTGTATGAGGCCTGTTATTTTTATTTTTATTTTCTAGTTCTATAACCCAACCTTGCCTTCTTTAAAAAATTATTTTATTTTTATTTCCATCACCCTGTCTCCCTCTCCTTTGGCAGCCATCAGTTTGCTCTCTCTATGGTCTGTTTCTGTTTTGTTTTCTTTATTCATTTGTTTGTAGTCGGTTTTTAGATTCCACATAGAAGTGAAATCATATGATATTTCCCTTTCTCTGCCTGGCGTATTCACGTAGCATAATACCTTCTAAATCCATCCATGTTGTCACAAGTGGGAAGAAGATTTTATTCTCCTTACTCTTCTTTATGGCTAAATAATACTCCATTGTATATATGTACCCCTTCTTTACCCATTCATCTATCCATGGACACCTAGGCTGCTTCCATATCTTGACTATTGTAAATAATGCCGCAATCAACATAGAGGTGAATATATGTTTTGGAATTAGTGTTTTGGGTTTTTTCGGATAAATACCCAGAACTGGAATTGCTGGGGCACATGGTAATTCTAATTTTAATTTTTGAGGAATCTACATACTGTTTTCCACAGTAGCTGACAAACTTACAATCCCACCAACAGCTCACAAGGGTCCCTTTTCCTCCACATCCTTGTCAACACTTGTTGTTTGTTGATTTATTGATGATAGCCATTCTGACAGGTGTCAGGTGATATCTCACTCTGGGCTTAATTCGAATTTGCCTGAGGATTAGTGATGTTGAGCATCTTTCCACATGTCTGGTGGCCATCTGTACGTCCTCTTTGGAGAAGTGTCTGTTAAGTCCTCTGCCCATTTTTTAATTGGATTGTTTGTTTTTTTTGGTGTCAAGTTGTCTGAGTTTATATATTTTGGATATTAATCCCTTATGGGATATATCATTTGTAAATATCTTCTCCCAGTTGATAGGTTGTCTTGGCTTTTTGTTGATGGTTTCCTTTGCTGCGCAAAAACCTTTTAGTTTGATGTAGTGCCATTTGTGTTTTTTCTTTTTGCTTCCCTTGCCTGACAAGACATCCAAAGAGAGGTTACAAAGAGCGATGTCAAAGAGTTTACTCCTTATGTTTTCTTCTAAGAGATAATATGGTCTTGGGTCTTACATTTTAAGTCTTTAATCCATTTAAGTTTATTTTTGTATATGATTTAAGAAACTGGACCAATTTCATTTTAGTGCATGTATCTGTCCAGTTTCCCCAACACCATTTACTGAATGGACTTGTCTTTACCCCATTGTATGTTCACACCTCCCTTGTCATAGATTAATTGACCATATAGGTGAGGACTTATTTCTAGGCTTTCTCTTCTACTCCATTGATCTGTAGGACTGTTTTTAAATCAGTACCATACTGTTTGGATTATTGTCGTTTTATAGTATAGTTTGATATCAGGGAGCGGGATACCTTCCACTTTGTTCTTTCTCAAGATTGCCATGGCTATTCAGAGTCTTTTGTGATTCCATATAAATTTCGGATTAGTTGTAGTTCTGAAAAGAATGCCATAGGGATCACATTGATTCTTTATATTGCTTTAGGTAGTAAGGACTTTTTTTTTTAATTGTTCAAAATACTACTGATGTCCCCTTTTTTCCTCCCACCCACGCCCACTCCCTGCCCTAGGCCTCCACCACACTATTGTCGATGTCCATGGATTATGCATATATGCATATAAATTCTTTGGTTAATCTCTCCC